GAAAGACGCCTGCTATTTCAAAACTATAGAAATTATTTTCCTTCACAAAACCCTTATGTATTGTTCCATATTTTACCGACTGTCCTCATTTTATCTTTCTGCTGATTAAGCTTGTATCTTTGCATATTATCACATCATAATCAGCTTAAGTAGGTCAAAGCATACCGCAGCTTTAAGAGCTTCGCATAAGATATCATGACTGTACCTCTCGCACATTATGGTACGACAACATCAGGACAGAATAATGTTCGTATTATTCGTATTTCAATGATTTGCTGCGCATTCAATGCATCCAAAGAAATTCGGACGAATTCTCTTGTGCACTGTAATTAACAGTTAGCACAACGCTTTGGAATTCAGATGCAGCACCTCATGAGCTCAAAACTGACTTCTCTCTCTTGTACCACCGTTCGTATAATTTCTTAAGTAAACGAATTGCTGGTAAAAAAATATTGTGTGAGTACCCGTGTGTGGATTAGAATCAATCACTATAGAAACTATTGACTGATAAGTAGCGTTGCAAATTACCGTAGTGATAATGCGTGATAACTGCCTGTTTGAGCATTGATCGCTTTGTATATTTGTGCATCTATCTCTGATTTATGAACTTTTTAACCTTTGACAATTTCCTAATTATTTATATGTGCCGAGAACTGGTACTTTGCTTTGTAGCATTGATTCTTGAGTATCAAGAGCATTTGTTACGTGGAACCACCAGATGTACCTTAATTTTTTTGATTTTTGCGTTCGCAGAGACCTTAAGGTATGCGAACGCTGCTATTCGTTAGATCCTGCAGATCATTTAGTTTTCTTCTGACTACCATTTAATTGGCTGCATGTTACGTTTCTAAGGGCAGTTACAGTTTATGCGGGTCTGATTATTACCGTTTATATCTGTAAGTGCTGCTGTTTGAAACTTAATAAATCATTAGGCGTATTGAAGAAGCGCATATGTAGGCGTGAAACAGTAATTTGTTGGTTTTACAGTCTGACAGTAACAAGTTTTATCTTAGGTTCTGGCGGGGGCCACTTCTCTGTGAAATTCGCATTGTATGGAATTTACCCTAGTTCACTCTGTTGCAACAGCTTATGCCCAATTATTAAAGGAGAGCGTGATGAATTAGGTATCTCGTAAGAGTTGCAGTTTCCATCCATGATGCAGCACCTGTTTATTGAACCGTTTCAAAGATTTTTGTTCATCTTGATAATTAACTCTATCTTTACGTACCGGAAAAAAGTAAATGTATAAAAAGCAGCCAGTGCATAAAAATTTTATGATAATATCAACATCGTTAGAAAATAGCGTGGGTGTTGCTCAGGGATCCACCTTCTTCCCTTTCTTTTCAACACGTTCACCAATAAAACAAGTAGAAGAAGAAAGTTTATAACGGTTACACTTGCGGTTTTCTGTACGCTAACATGATTCCATACATTACAGTTCTAGCACCTTTGTTTTCATGAGGTTATTGACAGGGTGCTAATCTTTGTCTCCATGTAATCAACCAGGAACACTTTTTAAAGGCAGATTTAGGAGCAGCTGTGTTGCAAGTGTAGTCGATTTCCTTGCCGCTCATTTATTCGAGTGTTACTCATCAACCTCAGAATGAAGGAAAGCGACTGACCCCGGTTGGGCTCGAACCCATGACTTCTCGGTTCAGAGTCCGACGTTTTACCCACCGAATAACCCTAGTCTGAAGCTGAACGTGGTAAATTCCTTGCTCAAGTTAATTCTAGGTAAAAACAAAGATTGCCC